TAGACGCTATGCTACTATTGATGCAGGCAAAAATCCCATTGCCTTTTTTTGCTGCTACACCACATTGTTGGCTCGAACTGCCTCAAACTGTTAGGATAGGAGGTGACAAATAAAAAAGTGTCCAACGTGTGATCCAATTAAACAGCCAGCAGAGTGTCTGCTGTGGACACATCTTGTCGTGTTTATAATAATAATAATAATAATAATAATAATAATAATAATAATAATAATTTATAACAACAACAACAACAGCCAGTAGGCTGTTAGGAGTTGTGGGAGTTGAAGTCCAAAACTCCTGGAGGGCCCAAGTTTGCCCATGCCTGCTCTAACCTGGAGTGAGTTCTGGTGAGTTGTGGGAGTTGAAGTCCAAAAGCAACTTTCGCCTCCCTCCTTTAGCCATTGTTGTTGTTGTTGTTGAGCGATCTCCCTGCCCTCTCCTTACCTCTTCTGAAGCTCCAGAAGTCTTCGCCTCCTCTCTGTCTGCTCCAAGGAGCTGTATTTGGACTTGTATTGGGCCAAACGGGGATGTGGTGCTGCGGTACTATTGAGGTCTTGGGAGACGGCAAAGCTGGAGGCGAGGGCTTGACTCAGCTCTTCCATGTTGACCCTTTTGAAAAAGTAAGCATAAGTGTTAGGCAGAGCAAGACTCATTTGCTATAACTCTGGGCCCATTTACACTGTACAATTAATTCAGTTTGATACCACTTGAACTGCCCACCAACATTCCGTTTTCCATTCTTGAGTTCAGAGTAGAGCAACTGCTTTGGGAGATGGTGGCCGGTCCAGCGGAGTTGATGGCGGAGGACCATCGCCATCAATGCTGGTGGTCTTTGCTTCTTCCAGCATGCTGACATTTGTCCACTTGTCTTCCCAAGAGATTTGCAGGATTTCCCGGAGGCAGCACTGATGGAATTGTTACAAGTGACGTCTGTAGACAGTCCATGTTTCGCACGCATATAGCAAGGTTGGGAGGACAATCGTTTTATAAACAAGCACCTTGGTCTCCCGACGGATGTCCTGGTCCTCAAACACTTTGTGCTTCGTTCGGAAATATGCTGCACTCGCAGAGCTCAGGCGGTGTTGTATTTCAGTGTCTGTGTTGACATCTGTAGACAGTCCACATTTCAGAGGTGTATAGCAGGGTTGGGAGGACAATAGCTTTATAAACAAGTACCTTGGTCTCCCGACGGATGTCCTGGTCCTCAAACACTTTGTGCTTCGTTCGGAAAAATGCTGCACTCGCAGAGCTCAGGCGGTGTTGTATTTCAGTGTCTGTGTTGACATCTGTAGACAGTCCACATTTCAGAGGTGTATAGCAGGGTTGGGAGGACAATAGCTTTATAAACAAGCACCTTGGTCTCCCGACGGATGTCCTGGTCCTCAAACACTTTGTGCTTCGTTCAGAAAAATGCTGCACTCGCAGAGCTCAGGCAGTGTTGTATTTCAGTGTCTGTGTTGACATCTGTAGACAGTCCACATTTCAGAGGTGTATAGCAGGGTTGGGAGGACAATAGCTTTATAAACAAGCACCTTGGTCTCCCTACGGATGTCCCGGTCCTCAAACACTTTGTGCTTCGTTTGGAAAAATGCTGCACTCGCAGAGCTCAGGCGGTGTTGTATTTCAGTGTCTGTGTTGACATCTGTAGACAGTCCACATTTCAGAGGTGTATAGCAGGGTTGGGAGGACAATAGCTTTATAAACAAGTACCTTAGTATCCCTACGGATGTCCCGGTCCTCAAACACTTTCTGCTTCATTCAGAAAAATGTTGCACTCGCAGAGCTCAGGTGGTGTTGTATTTCAGTGTCAATATTGACTTTGGTGGAATTTAGCTTAGAAACCAGCTCTTCCTCTTGACTTTTGTGGAGAGGTGGCTGCCAAGGGAGCGGAAATGGTCAACATTTTCTAATGTTACACCATTAAGCTGTAGTTCTAGCATTGGAGAGGGATTGGCTGGTGACTGCTGGAAGAGCACTTTGGTTTTCTCGATGTTCAATGAGAGGCCAAGCTTCTCATATGCTTCTGCGAAGGTGTTTAGAGTGGCTTGTAGGTCTTCTTCTGAATGTGCACAGACTACATTATCATCAGCATATTGGGGTTCTATAACAGATGTTGTGACCTTGGTTTTGGCTTTCAAATAGCTTGTCATCTGTATATATATATATATATATAGTATAAATATATATATTAAGAGGTTTTATTTATTTGTCGTGTCAGAACAACCAGTCAAATTATATTACATTTCTAACAGAAACAAAGCAAACAAGCAGATTACAAAATTTGTGAGTATGAGAGTTGATTAAATGTCCTTTGACCAGTATCTGGCCACTTGGAGTGCTTCTGGTGTTGCTGCAAGAAGGTCCTCCCTTGTGCATGTGGCAGGGCTCAGGGTGCATTGCAGCAGGTGGTCAGTGGTTTGCTCTTCTCCACACTCGCATGTCGAGGATTCCACTTTGTAGCCCCATTTCTGAAGGTTGGCTCTGCATCTCGTGGTGCCAGAGCGCAGTCTGTTCAGCGCCTTCCAAGTCGCCCAGTCATCTGTGTGCCCAGGGGGGAGTCTCTCATTTGGTATCAGCCATTGGTTGAGGTTCTGGGTTTGAGCCTGCCACTTTTGGACTCTCGCTTGCTGAGGTGTTCCAGCGAGTGTCTCTGTAGATCTTAGAAAACTATTTCTTGATTTAAGTCGTTGACGTGCTGGCTGATACCCAAACAGGGGATTGAGCTGGAGATGTCTCTGCCTTGGTCCTTTCACTATTGGCTGCTACTTCCCGGCGGATGTCAGGTGGTGCAATACCGGCTAAGCAGTGTAATTTCTCCAGTGGGGTAGGGCGCAGACACCCCGTGATAATGCGGCATGTCTCATTAAGAGCCACATCCACTGTTTTAGTGTGGTGAGATGTGTTCCACACTGGGCATGCATACTCAGCAGCAGAGTAGCATAGCGCACGGGCAGATGTCTTCACTGTGTCTGGTTGTGATCCCCAGGTTGTGCCAGTCAGCTTTCGTATGATATTGTTTCTAGCACCCACTTTTTGCTTGATGTTCAGGCAGTGCTTCTTGTAGGTAAGAGCATGGTCCAGAGTGACTCCCAGGTATTTGGGTGCATTGCAATGCTCCAGTGGGATTCCTTCCCAGGTGATCTTCAGAGCTCGGGATGCTTCTCTGTTCTTGAGATGAAAGGCACATGTCTGTGTTTTAGATGGGTTGGGGATCAGCTGGTTTTCCCTGTAATAGGCAGTAAGAGCACCTAGAGCTTCGGAAAGCTTCTGTTCTACCATCTCAAAGCTCCCTGCTTGAGCAGTAATGGCATGATCATCAGCATAGATGAAACTCTCTGTCCCTTCTGGCAGTGGCTGGTCATTTGTGTAGATGTTGAACATGGATGGAGCAAGCACGCTCCCCTGAGGCAGGGGGACATGAGAGAAGCCTCCTCGCAGGATTGCAAGAAATCCGGCGTCCCCTGGGCAACGTCTTCGCAGACGGCTGATTCTCTCAAACCAGAGACGACTTGCAGCATGGAAGCAAGCAAGCAAAATAGACGGTAAAATCAAGCCAATTGCCTTCATTCGGTGTTGTGTGTTTACACTCTGCACATGCTCAGAGGCACTGTTTCCCTGAAGGCCCTGAATCTATTACTAAAGCAATCAACAGCTTTATTTTTTCTTGAAGTCACGTTAAAACAGATCAGTGAACCAATCAATGTCTCAGACCTTCTTATTTGTAATGCTAGCCTTGAAATGTCAAATTAAATGCCATTTAAATATTTACCTCACTTACCTCACTCCGGATTCGAACCCGCGACTACAAGGAAGGGGAGTCACAATGGAAATATTTCCCTTGTTTACGTCACACGTGCGCCCGTCCGCCTCTTTCGTCGCTCGGAATGACGTAAGCGGAAAGCAACCTTGTTTTCTTACCCTTGCTCGCTTTTTCCTTGCAGAGCGCATGCGTAAAGTATGCTGTCACTCTCCTCCCCGCCGCTTGAGGCAGCGCATGCGCATATCATCACCACGCTTGCTGTTCTTCCTGTAATCATCATCGGCTCTGTCTTTCTCACCCGCCCTTGAAAAGGCGCATGCGTAGTCCCTCTTTTTCTCTTTACCGTTTCGTCGCTTTTTTGAATAAGCGCATGCGCGCCTCTTCGCCTCACTCTTCGCCCCCACCCTTAGGAAAGCGCATGCGCATTGGGTTGTTCTTCAATCAGTTGGGGAAACTAGGGT